AATTCTCCATAACAACAGATTTTCTTCTGCTGTTTCGCTTCTTCTTCTTCTTGTTTACTACTGGTGGTTGGCTTTGGTCGCAGTACCGCCACCTTCTGCTCTGGAGTGTAAACGCTTCGCCTATGAGAAAAAGGAGCAATGCATGAACCGAACGTAACACACGCGAACCGAACCGAGACAGTCGAACCGAACGGTTCGGACGGTTTTCAAATCCGTTCCATCCCTAGGCTATATATAATAATAAAAAATTACATTTTTAATTTAATTTAATTTAACTATATTGCTCTCACATTGGAGAAATTTCCCTTTTCATTTAACCCATCCCCTTGGGGAGCAGTAGGCTGCCATCGTGGGGCAGCCAGGGAAGCAATCGGGGGTTAAGGGTCTTGCTCAGAGACCCAGAGTGGCATTCAATGGGAGTGGGGCTCCCACAGACTGCCACTGTAGAACCTCAGGATTCCAAGCTCATTGCTTAACCACTAGGCTGCCACTCCCCCTATAATAATACCATAGTGTACTCAAGTGGTGGCTTAGCAGAGTGGTTCCTAACCCTGGTCCTCAGGGAGCCCTGCCCTGCATATTTTAGATATGTCTTTGTTCTAGGGCTCTTCTAATGCAAGTAAGTGCTGCAGGTTGTGAGAGGCTGATCGCCTCTTGTTACCCCCTGTACACTACACGACGCACGATGTATGATCAGGCTGAAAGCCCGATAGAAAAATTCTCGCATGACTTGAAAGTCAGCCCGAAAAGGGCAAAAAAATCGTACAGTGTAAGCCCGGCTTAAGACTTCCTGCACAAAGACAGATGGATGGATTTGTTTATAAATAATCAGTATCTCTGGAGAGTGTGATAAATTTATTTGTATGCTTTATGCTCCTTTTTATCTGGTAATTAGATGCATATTGAATCTGAGTGGCTACTGATGATGTGTATCTGGTGGAGCTGTGGCTATAGAGTAGAGGATTGCCGTTGTCTTAACCGGGCTTCTTTCTTAATTGACCTCTGTATTCACCCTCACATTAATCTTCCTCTCTGATAAACCTGCGCCTGTTACATTCCATTTTTGAATACTATTGGTGGCTTCTTTTATTGAAATGTGAAAGTGTAGGTTTTTTTGTTGTTTTTATTTTATTATTATTATTATTTTTTATTAAAAAAGAAAAGAATAATAAAAAAAAGAATAGAGATGTCAAAGTGGCGATATTAACCCCTTGACTTAATTTACTTATCCTAGTGATAAGAAGTACATTAAATTGAATGGTGCCCATTGAAGGCCTAGGTACCATATGCATCGCCTGCTACTGTATTTTAATTCAATTCAGTTTATTTTTATAGCGCCAGTTCACAACACATCACTTCAAAGAACTTTACAGAGACAATTCAACCAGATCATACAGTCAAACTGATCCTAAGTTTTCTATGCTGAGTTTCTACAGAAAACATCATGAACCTAGAAAAAAAAGAAGCAACTCAATCATGTGACAAAGTGGAAGAAATCAGTTTTAAAGAAAGTACCGGTAATTAATTTTTTGAGCATCCCGTCACTAGTCAGAGGAACATTATTCTAACTCCAGTCATCGGCCGATCGGCTGGTTCATCACTAATGAGAGCTGTATCTGGTTTGAGGTCAGGTCATTATCAAAGCCAGTATTTATCAAGAAGTTATTTTCTTTGAACTGCTTTTCAGCATAACATCAACTCATCCAGTTTGGACACAGATAAAATATATATCCCTGCTGTTAAATAACGCTTGTGATATACTGTCCTTTTTCCTCCTTTCTCCTTCCTCCTGTAGGGAGGAGGAAGTAGGTGAGTAGAAAAGCATTCCTCCTCAGTCATCTGACAGTCAGGGGTTTGTTTCTGTATCAACATTTTTACAAATCTACCTGCCTTCATGTTTTCTTACCCATGTTGTTGTGTGCAAAGATTTTAGATGCTAACCCCCAAGCCTGAGGTCATGGGAAAAGGAGCTAAAAGGTTGCAGTTTGAGGAAGATTTTAATGTTATTCTGTAGTCTTATAGATCCCTCAATAGCTAAATGTCAAGAGACAAAGTAAATGTGTTCTATTGAAACATGGAATAGGTATGTTGGAGCAATCTTGACTGTTATTCATCTGTTTAGTTGGATATCTTGCTGCTATTCTAAAGGTCTCTTATGCATCTTTGCATTTTATGATGTCAGTGATGGGATAACGCTCTGCTGACTGCAGGATTTCATCCATCTGACCTTCTAAAACACCTTAAGGTGACATTTCAATGAACTCAATTAAAGATGATGAAACCAACGTTTGATATTATGTAAAATGCATTAACTGGCTTCCTGTTCCTTGATCTATGATCTCACCTTATTGCTAACATCAGCACACGGTTTTTGTAACTGGACACACGATGAGTGACCAAAGTGAGACTAGTTTAGATTTTAAAAGATCTTTTTACATCAAGACATTATTTCTTTTGCTATTCTGATGTTTTCTTCTGGTATTTTGCACTTGTTTGAACAGGGATACATAATTAAACATGCCTGTTATGTAGGATTTGCTGTTGTTCATTGTTCATGTACCCAGACACCTGTTCTGTAGCTGTTTTTTTTTTTACACATTTCTTACAGCTTTGTGTCTAACATCTGTGTTATGTACTTACTTGTTTATATGTTTTTAATGCAATAACATAACTGAAAACCATTACTGATCCGCAGTCAGATTCTTGTGCATTACTATGGAGATGTTTTTGTGGAAATTAAACCAACTTTGGTGACATTTTGTCAAAAATGAGCAAGAAAAAGTCCTACTGTCCAGGCAGTGAGTGGTCTTTGTCATTATTTCCACTTGAGCACAGAGGCAGCCGTCAGATACTGATGTATTTCCTATTTTAGTCAATCTAAAATGGCCATGTACTCCTCTAACCTGCAGGCGTGCTTTATAACCCAAGCAGAAACCCACATCACACCCCCGCTACACCTCCCCACACGACTTCTTTCCCTTTCTGTGGACTTAAAGCTCTGTAATTGAACCCTGATGACCCCTTTCAAACCACACTTGGCAGCATTTGAGTAAAAGAGCCCATTAAAGGTAAAAAAAAAGACGACGAGCAACAGAGAGGTTCTCTGGGTTAAAAAGGAAACCTGACACAGAAATAGAAGTGCAGCTGATTTCAACCCGCCATGTTAATGATTGTATCTCAAGAAAAACTTCTATTTAAATGTAAATTTATTAGCTCCACTTTGCATTAATGTTTGTCTTAAAGTCCACTCTGATGATGCTTATTGAGAAATAACATTGTTATAAACTTTAAAGTGCTGATATTAGGCATTGTTTCTAACTTGTTTAAAGTTCCTCCTCATACAAACTTTATATTATTATTATTTTATTATTATTACTTAATGTTTGCAGAACAATTAGACTCGGTTCCTGGAATGCTGCCTCATGTTGTTGCCATAGAGATACATTTCCTTGGAGGATGCTGCTGGTCCTGATGCCTAAAGCTTTAGTAGCATCAGCAGTGCAGAACACTTGATGCTTCAGTCAGAAAGTTAGAAGGGAAAGCTTTCTTTTGCAACTGAAAATAACGTATATGATACTGCAGCTTTTTAATATCATTTTTCTTTAAGTTAATTTTTGTTATCTAAAACCTTTTGAAGTAACATTGTTCGATGTGATATTCTTTAGCTGTTTTACCGCCTAGTTTTTCTCCAGAGCTGATTGCTGGTTCCTTGTCAGGCCAGCCTCCAGATGGTTTCCTGATCAACGGTCCAAACTTCTGCTGTTTAGAGTAGGGCTGCAGCTCATGATTTTGCTATTTTAATCTGTTGACTATTTTTTTCTAACTCTATGGATTCATAATCTGATAGCAAATGATAAATGTATGCATTTATTGCACAGTCTCACCTTTTATTCCCTTTTTTGAATTGTATTCTCTTTCTGCTATTTTATTGTCATTATGCTCTAATTAACAAATAAGTTTAATTTACTTCAGGATTATTTCAGTAATCACCATTAATCCACTATTTCAGTCCCAGTCCTGATCTTTTTATCTACTTTCCACTTCTTGTCTTCTGACATGGTGCTCCATCATATCCATCATCAGGGCAGACTGGTCATTACTAGATTATATCAGATGTTTTGGAAGATGTTTTTATTAGAGGTGGTTTTGATTCTCTTCGGTTCTTTATTTGTGTGTAAAATGGTCAAAAATCCCAGCTTTTAACGAGAAAAAAAACGACACAGATCCTATCAGGATGTCTAACTGTTTGCACCACTCAGAAGTCCCTGTAGCTCTCAGCTTTACTCTTGATGCTCCAAAGAATCCCAATGAGGATTCAGCTTTGCCCTCATCTGGGCAAACATCCGTTTAATTGTTTTAACTTTAATTTAACTTTTGGGCATGCAGGTGGCGCTGCGGTTAGCACGCACAACCCATGTATGGAGGCCTTGGTCCTCTAAGCGGACGACCCACGTTCGATTCCAACCTGTGGTCTTTTGCCGCATGTCTCTCCCTCTCTCTCATGCCCCCTTTCCTGTCAGCCTACTGTTGAAAAAAACTAGCAATTAGTGCCCCAAAAAAACAAAAAAACTTGAATTTAACTTTTAAACCTCCGACCACTAGTTGGCAGCACACCGCTAAGAGCCTATTATTCAGCTGCCCTGTATTACCTGCAGCTGAGCACAAAATCTCATCTTCCAGAGCTATATAATTGCAAAAATGGCTTTATATTGTCTCTGTTAATTTATCAGGATTAAGCGTATTGTGATACGTATCGTATCGACAATTTTTTGCCAATTCACACTAATGATTATGTTGCCATGTTAACCAGGCTTTATGTGTTTTCACCTCCCCTGGTAAAATCTTTTTCCGGAAAAGAGAAAACTGTCGATATATATTTGTCTCATAGACATTTATACAGTTTATATCGGATACTTATTACTCTTACAAGTAAAGAATCCTAATTTTGTGTCCGTGTTTAAATCCGTATTCTGTTTTTGTTTTGTTTTTTTTTCCAACAGGAGGCGGAGAGCGAAGACAGGCTTGGCCTGCAAGGCGACGCGGAGGGAGAATGTGACGCTGACACCAAAACTGACACTCCAGATGTTCCTGTCTCCACAGCAGATACTGACAACACTCCAGAATGTCTGAACAAAGCTCTGGAGGGGCTTCCACCCAGGTACAACTGACTGCAGAAGTTTTCATGTATTTGTGAAGCTGCCCTTTAAAATGGGCGATCAAATACCAGAATAAGCTTCAAAGGCTTTAAGTGCGACAGCGTTTATCGGTGAATCCTATAATGTGACAATCATTTCAGTTGACTTTGGGGGAAATTTGTCACAGATTGCAGTAGAGCGCTAAAGGATTCATTTGGTAGATTAAGAGTGGCATTGATTCAAGCAGTCAGTATCCTACCTTTAGTAAAAAAAATCCTCCATAATGATGTCAGATCAGAGAATTACTATTCGTTTTAATTTTATGGTCAGGCTTATAGCCTAAAGCAACCTACAATCCAACCTCCTTCACCAAGTTGTTCAACTGCAGGGTAGCATATTTCCTCAAGCTGATGATGGTTGACATTTTTCTCTACCAGTAACACTGATCTCCATCAGCCTCTCCAGGAACCTGTTTAAGTTTGACATGAAAAGTGATGGTAGAGTTTATCAGAGGGAGCTCTGATAACAGCAGGATGAGAGTCCAGACTTCTGCTGTATATATTTGCATCCACATGTTATCAGAACAGACGCTGTTTTTTTTTTTACACAGGCTGGTACAAACATAAAGAGCTTATTTTATTTTCACATAAATGCCAAAAAACAGAAATATCCCAGTCTCAGATGTTCTATTTAGGTTTAAACTCAATATTGTCATTTTTCTTGCATCTTAACATAATTTCTTCACTTCATGCTGCCATACAACAGCAAAATTAAAGGGTTATTTGTAAACTTCATCATAGAAATAGTCTGTTGTTCATAATTTAGAATGAGAATAACAGAGGAAAATATTATGAAAATATAAGAAAAAGATAAATGCAGTTTTAGAATAATAAATAGCAATTAAAGTTTAGTTTGTTTTGATGTAATATTAAACCGTATACATGAATATTTATTTTAGTTGATTACCGTATCCTCCTGAAAGGCCAGGAAGTTTGATTTAAATCATTTTAATGCCTTAAACAGCTTTTAGTTGAGGTTTATTAGCAGAAACTGCCATCAAAATGTTTTTGTTTCTTCTGTATCACCTTTAGAAATCAGTCCAGCAGCTGTATTTTTAAACCTTAGCAAGAGCTGTTAATATTCTGTTAAATTAGATGTTAAATGGAAAAAAAAAAACATGGTTAAAGTTGGTCAAAAAACTTTGTTGCTTCCAGGAAAACTGACAATCAGCTGTCTTATCCAGGAAAAAAAACGTATAGAATGGCAGCATGCAGGAAGCCCAAAATACCAAAATATTTGTTTTTAACTTCTGATTTCTATACTTTATCCATTTAACATAACATTGTTGGTAATTTGTTCATTTATTTAATTTAACAATAAAAAAATGTATTTATTTTCTTTGTTTAAACATTTTTAATTTAGAAATTACCCTGACTGACTCTGTTTTCAAGTCATTTAAAATAAGATTCAATATTTTGAAAATGAATTCTAGGTAATTGAAACAGAATTAAATTGTTTTAAATATATTTGCTTTAAAAACATATTTTTTGTGTAAAAACAAAATTAGTATTTTTTTTTACTTTTGCTGGCTAAGTGATTCATTGACCCTAAGAGCAATACACAGATTCTCAGACTCACATTTCACATTCGGTTATTTAATGGCACAGCTTTATGTCCAGACAGGTGCACCACTTAAACTTTGTTTGTTTTTCGTCATCTACATCTACAAAACGTCTACATCAGACAGACTGGAACGGGCAGATAGAGAAAAAGGGAAGTGGTGTGTAAAAATTTGGAGATTTTTGATCAAACCTCAGATGGCTGCTCTGAAGATCATTGATCTACTTTAGTGCATCATATTGTTGTATTTTATTGTTACTGGAAAAAAAGTACTCAACTATACAATCTAGTTAAATAAAGGAGATTGATGCTAATTGATCAGTCAGCACTTTGTCTTTGGAAAGGCCAGAAGAAGAACATCATAACAGACCCTCACAGCTTGATGTTCTGCCCTAAACAAGGCTATTCAAACTAACTTAAAATCTGCTAAGAGCTGTGAAGGTCCTCACAGACAGTTTAATCAAAACAAGTTACAGATGTGAAGAAAAAAACAGTAAAATGCTGAATAAATCTTGAGTCTAAAAGAGTTTAGCTTCTATTCCAAAAATGTCCCAATAGTTCAAAACAACCCCTCTCACCCAGACACTGAGTAGCCTGGCATGTGTGCGACGGCCTAAATGGAAACTTTTATATTAAAAAGAAATTTATCATCAGCATTTGAAGGAATGTAAAGAGAAATTGTTTTTTTTCCCCCTGACTAAATTGGACAAACACAAAAAAGAAAAGTAGTGAAAATTATGCATGATCTTACTTTCTTTTCCTTACAGCTAAGATCACTTTTTGTGTCAATTTTTAATGAGCAGAATAAGCCTCACAATGGCTTCAGCTTTTCAGAGGTTATTATTATTATCTTGGACTCAGTCATATTGGATGAAGATCAAACATCAGGTCTTCCAGAATTTTCCAGTTATTAACCCCCATGCATCTTCTTATCACCTTCAGGTTGAAACGTTTGCTTTTATTGTGATCTGACCAGAATCTTCCTCCATGTTTAATGTGTCCCATACATGGTTTGTAGGCAGCTATAAAGCATTTCTATTAGCTGACATGTCAGCAGATTCTCCCTGTCTGAGCTTTGGATCTCTGCAGCTTTTCCAGAATGACCTTAGGCCTCTCGGCTTTTTCTCCGATCAATAATCTCCTTCCTCTGTTGATTGGTTCAGTTAGGCAGGCATGTTTGGTCCGTCATCTTCTAAAGATTGATTGGAAAAACTCAGAAATGTTAGTTTACCCAGATGAGATGTTTGTTGTGAAATGCTGGTGTCTGATAGGGGAAAAACATGGAAAGAAAGATAGGACTGAACAGATAAACAGATACCAGAGATATCAGTGCCTTAAAGTGGAAAGGTCCTCAGTAACATGATCACAAACTGACAATGGAGTGTTTTTGTGTGACGCTGAAGGAGTGGAGGGTGTGGCCACTGGATGACTTGCAGGTCACACAGCTCCTTAAGGTTTGTCGAGCCAAAGGGCGCCACTGCAGCTCAAGTGCTGCAGAGAGACGTGCTGATAAACTGGCTGCAGAGAGGAGAAGAAGGGAGGGAGTAGATTAGATTTCAAACCACACTACCTGGTATTACGTTGCAGAACACCAGGATCAGGAGGTTGATGCAGGGAAAACATAACAGTAGTGAAGGCAATCATGCATGAATGGAGTTCTTTGAATGACAGCAGAGAAGGGATGAATGGATTGGAAGGTAAAGGTTGCGTCGTGGGAGGGGGGGTGTGCTGGAGAGGTGCAGAGCGTCAGCACAGAGCTTTTCTCATGATGCAGCTATTTTTTCTTCTCCATTCATCCACAGACAGTTACTGCTGTTTAGATTCACTGGGAAAGGTGAGCCTCAGAGCTGCAGACACTGCACAAGGTGTTCAGATCACAATGGATTTTATTTTAATACTTTCTTTTTTGATATAAAGTACTGGGAAGTACTATTTATTTGGGCTGAAACAATTGGATTAGTCGTGATTCATTGATGGTTGCAGTTACTTTACAGAAACTGTTAAAAAAATATATTATGTATAAACATTTAGCATTTAAGAAGAGAAACCTTTTTATCTCTGTGAATATCATTTTAAGTTGCATAGTTTTAGCATCACTCTGTTTACATTCTGTATAACAAATCTTTTTGATGGCACCTTTTCCTACCTGATTATTTATGGATTAATGTAAAAAAAAAATTGACAGGTTTGGTTTATAAACACTTAGCTGTTATTAACCACCATGTTTGATTCTTGCTTACAATAGGTGCGTTTTCATCAGCTTTTTCTTATGTGCATTTTGAAGTTTTGCATCAGAAAAGGTTGATGGAAATTTGCAAAATTCAAACAGGATAGCAGGAATTTGCAGAAAGGTTTTTACCCTCGCTTGAGGTGTTTTTTGGCTTTTGCAAAAAGGGTGAAGGCACAAAAAAGATGGAAACACTTTTTTCGAATCTGCTCTGACGAAGCAACTTTTATCTCGTATGACTGATCAGCTGTCCAGTCTGCTTTTGCTCAAAACATGATGTTGTAGACATCATGTTTTGAGCAAAGACAAAAAAAGTGTATTTTCTTAGAAGAAAAGCACAGACGTATAAGCAGTGGTGTGGGTCACTTCTAGCCTCAGCCGTGGCATCGCATTGATCTGATAAATCCTTTACTTCTATAACCCTTACATGCCTCTGCGTCTCAGCTTATATAAATGTTCTTTCCCCTTTTACCTAATTTTTTTTCTGCTAATGGGGATCTTCTGTTGTAAAATTGTTGCCTTTTTAGTTCAATTGCGGATTTATTGTTCTGTTTTATTAACATTTGTTTGCTTTATAAACTTCTCCACAGATGGAAGAACTACTGGATACGAGGACTTTTGTCCATCTGTATGATTTCAGGTTTTTTCCTCATCATCTATATGGGACCCATCACTCTTATCTTTGTGGTAAGTTACAGTGAATTGTAAAGCTTTACTGTGTTGTGTGTGTATCTTTGATTTTCAGCTTTAAGAACAAGTTTATAGGTTTTGATAAACCCTGAGAACTGAGTCCCTGCTGTCCGTCTGACTTGTCCACCCCCTCCTCTTTTTCTGACGCAGGTCATGTGTGTCCAAATCAAGTGTTTCCATGAAATCATCACCATCGGCTACAGAGTTTACCATTCCTATGAGCTGCCTTGGTTCAGGACTCTGAGCTGGTAAGGAAAATGGATTTTTATGGTAAACCGCAGATGCTTTTTTTTCCCATCATGAGCACAAATCTATGCTGCAGTTTGAAATGTGTCTTGTTAAATTAGACTCTTCTCTTTCTGTGTCCTTCAAATCAAATATTCCCCTAAACGGACAAAGAAATTAAGCCAAAGGCTCACCATGTTTAACTCCAAGATGTTCTGTCTCTTTTGACCATAAAACCTCCTAAAGTAATCTGTGTAGTCCATACAGTGCATCAGAGAAGTGCTTCCAACACTTTCCTCATTTATATCCCTTTCCCACTGGCTGAAAAACCCACTTAAACCTGGGAACAATCGGCTTTTAGTGCCAGTGGGAACAGCGTGCATACTCGGGTCAAACGACTCAGCAAGCGACCCGCGTTAAAAAACGATTGGCATGCTGTGGGAACACCAGACCCTAGTTGATTCGCTAAATTACTTGATACCTTTGAACACAACGTACGGACGTCAACACACCGTGCCATTTGCTTCTGATCGAATAAGCCTAAAACGACTCATTTGATAAACATGCTGCAGCCCTAGTTAGAGGAATTCGGACAGAACAAGGAGCAAAACCATAAAGCACACTTAGTATCCTAGCTTCCTTACATGTTTCTCCATTATTTACTTTCTTGACTTCTGTTGCACTGGTGACATCATCAAAGCTAAGCTAGCGTGATTGTGTCACCAGACACGCAGCAGTGGGGGGTCAGAGTCCATGCAGCAGCCAGCGAGTGGTCAGACCCAGCTGTCTTTGCTTATGGGAGGGGAGCCATATGCTGATTAGCTGGTCAACCCATGTTTGAAAAACATGCGTTAACGTGTTATTTTCAGTTGGAAAGAGGTTTTAGTTATGTTACAGTTTTAGTCCAAATGGTGTTTATTTATCTGTTTCTTTAAAATACTTTTCAGATCACCCTCTTATGATATTTTTTTATGGTTGCATATTGAGAAAAGATGGTAAACTAAAAAATAAACTTCCTTAAATATTCACAGCCTTTGCTTAAAGGTATAGTGGAGGATTTTCTTTATCTGGGTGGATCATCTAAATAAGAGGTCCTCCTAAATGTCCTCATTCTGGCAGTCCAATGTGCTCGCCCCATTGGCTATCTTTTTCTGAGCATGTTCTTTCAGGCTTATATGTGTGATGAGCTACGGTTTCAGACAGTCATTGAAGCTCACCTTTCTCACCGCGGTTCTTTGAAAATGGCCGAGGGTCATAAGAAAAAAAGTGTCTACGAAGTGTATGAGAAGAAAAGAAAGGCCTCAGAAGAGGCAGATATATCCCAGAATGCTTTGCACGGAGAGCTCTCCTCGCAAAGCATTTGCTGGCATAACGGCCCGCTGTCGCTACCTGACACCGGCGACTATTAACAAAGATGGGGCAGGCACTTTGCTGTGGAGGAGGAGTTATGTAACCAATGGAGCAAAAAGCAGTGATCATCTTTCCAAATAGTCAGTTAACTGAGTTGGCTATAAACTCTATATAGTGATTTAGGGTTAGGGCGAACGTTCAGGCACAGTGAGCTTGTATGAGCTATGAGAACAGCAACTTTTAAGCAGAGCGTGCACAAGGAGAAATGGGCTTGTGCATGCTCTCGCACGCGTTTAATATGAATCAATCAATCAAAGTCTATTTGTATAGCACTTTACAATAACACCAGGAAGACTAAAGTGCTTCACAGAAAGATAAAAACATTGAAAAAAACAAAACTCCTAAGCATAAAACAGTGTGTTCTAATTATTAAAAGCCAGTTTGAAAAACATTAGTCATTAATCTGGACTTAAAACGGGGCAGATCTGTGAGAACTGACTGAGAGGCCGGCTGTAACCATAAAGGAGCGATCCCCCCACTGTTTATACCGGGATCTGGGCACGTAATAGGGGACCGGGCCACAGGGATCTGGGGACCCCTCTCTGGAGCGGGTACAGAGTTCTACATGTGCATCTTTTTGAAATCTTCTGAAATTTTGCGAAATTCCTCCACTATATGTTTAATAAGTCTTTAAATAGCCATTCTCAAATCTTTCTTGACACGTTAAACCGATGCAAGTCTGGCCATTCCAGGACATTCACAAGGTGGTTCTGATCCACTCCTTTTAGATCTTGGCTGTTTCTTGTGGTTCGTTGCCCAAGTCTGAAGTCTGGAGCAGATTTTTACCCAGGATGTAGCTGTACATTGCTGCATTAATATTTTCTTCTAATCTAAGTAGTATATAAATTCCTGCTTCTGAAGAAACAGAACATCCCAACAGCATGATATTGCCATCACCGTGCTTCACTGTGGGAATGGTGCCGGCCTGGTATTCACAGGCCTGGTTCACCTCTCTCCACAAAGGAACGTTGGCGCCCTGACCGACTAACCATTGGGTTCTTCCTTCCTAATCAAGGCCGTCTCCCACTATTTCCCAATAAAAATGTGAAAACCTTTAAACCATTTTTCTCCTTTAGAACTAAAAAAGTGTGAATTTTTAGAAAAAATCTGACACCAACATGGTGGAGATGAGCTTTCTCAGAGATATAATAGCAGGAACTTCTGCCTTTTTTTTTTTCTTATCAATCAGAAACGCATACTTAACATGAAATAAATCATGATCTAATGGTCTGTTGTTTGCAGGGTGAAACTTGAATTGCAGTTTGTTAGATTTGCATGTTTTGTTGTCTGCGTGCGACTCAGTCTAACACTTTGCATACACACCCACACAATGCAGGTCGGAGCAAAGATCACCGCCAAGCTGGAAGTAAATAAACAATTTCCTCAAGGCCACCACTCACAACAGCTCCACACACGTAACCTGCTGTACATTAACCTGCAGCGTGTTTAAGAAACACACCAGTAGACCCAGAAACCCACTGACCCATACTCTAAGCTCTGAAAGTCTAACAATGGCGCTACAACTTATTGCAAACAATGACCAGAGCTTTCTTTTCTGCCCCAGGTACTTCCTGATTTGTGTCAACTACTTCTTCTATGGTGAAACGGTCGCAGATTATTTTGGAGCTTTGGTGCGGAGGGAGGAACCTCTGCAGTTCCTGGCTCGTTATCACCGCTTCATTTCTTTCACTTTGTATCTCGCAGGTGAGTTTGTCCTCGAGGGTGATAATGTACTTAATATCTTGAAGGGGGAAAAAAAGAAACAAACAGAAAACTACTCTTGCTCTTTTGCCCGCTTTGCATACATTCTTGTCTCTGGTTCTTTTGCAGAAGGAAAAATCAGATTTCCCCCCAAACAGTGTTAGTTTTGTGGAGCTGAGCCTTAATTGTGGTGCTAAAAGATCAGATGTAACCCTAAGGGGAAACCTTTTCTGATATACAATCACATAAGCTCATTCATATCCTCTGTGTGCTGTTCTTAACTTTTCTTTGCTAGTTAAGTAGCTGATTGATCTTATATTAGCTCACATATAACACCCTCCACATTCAGTGCTGAAGATGTGGGGGAAAAAGCCTTGATATAAATCCAGTTACAAAAATTGACTGTATGCATAAAATTAGAGCCATAATTAACAGCAAAAAGTTGGAGAGTGATAACAGAGCGCAGCAGGAGGAGAAGAAGTAGTCACTTAAAGTCCTCCAGCAGGCGACAGGCTCCCAGCTCGGTCGTACTGTCTGTGTTTGAGGTGCCCTAATTAAGTGTATCATTTGTCTCATATCTCAATTTAACTCCTATTTTTACTTATTTTGAAAGATATTTTTTCTGTATCACTCGCATACTCTGTCGTAGTAAGGAATACACAGGATCCTTTCCACCCAACTCTTATGGGAGCCTTCAGCCAATAAAGTTTTTGTAAGCATAAGTGGATCACTTTCTGCTACTCTGGCTTATGAATTTTGATTCCAAGACTTTTCTCTTTGATCTGCTTAGCTTTATTTATGTAGCTGTTATCAAACGCAAGAGAATCTGGAAGCAAAGAACACAGCAAACAGAGAAAAGAGAATCATATTTTTAAAACTACAAGTTAATCTGGACTATAATCAATTTGCAAACAAAGAGACTAGAATAGAAATAGAATTTAAAGGTGTTCAGCCCATCAAACAAGGCGATTAAATAGTACAATTGACGATTATGAATAAATACTTAAGTGACATTTTAGCTTTTAGTTAAAAAGCTTGGAGTGCTTCGCTGTTGTTTAGCTGCTCTTCAAAACGGTTAGTTAAAGCTAAGTCACATGAGTGTTCACCTTTCCAACTCTGTGAATGGCAGCCTACATAAACATGCTCTTGTCTAAAGTCAGAAAATGAGATTACGGTAATGCCTGAACTGTGAACAACACAGCTGGAAGAAGATCCTGTTGATCTTAAGCAAAATGAAACGTTTCCAAAGTCTGCTGTAGCAAAACATGGCGTCATAGGGTCGCCTGATTATTGCGGAGCGGTCGATGAAGAATCCTTTTAACCTGTAAGGTTGTTGGATTTCTCTCCTCCATCTCTCACACATCTTTTGCATAAATAATTTACAAATATCCAGCTTTCATACCTGCTTATTATTCCTGTATAAATCAACTGTTTGAAACATGGGGACATAAAGGACTTGGTCTGTGTGAAGCTGGTATTTGACGAGGAACCATCAGAGGGAATCATCGGCTCATCAGGCAGTTTCAGAAGCGCCTGACAGTCAGTTAAAAACTTTGTGATTAGAAAGGTCAGCAGAGACACAGGATGCCTTTAAAGATGCGTCCAAGCAGTACACAATCCAGCTGCAGGGTCTAGAGCCTGCAGGGAACACGAGCCATGCAAATAAAATCTGAAGTGGAGAATTGTTTAATCAAATGCACGGTTCACGATACTCCTCCCTCCAGGACACAGCAGACTATTGTTTGATCTACTGTACACTGTTGAGTAAAACTGACAGCATGTTGTTTACTCTTTCACAGGTTTCTGCATGTTTGTGCTGAGTTTAGTGAAGAAACATTACCGCCTGCAGTTTTACATGGTGTGTATCAGCAAAGTAACATTTTCTCTGCTTCTGCGTTAATCCATTCTCTCGCTGCTTTTCATTGTGTCATACTGAGAAGATTTCAGACCTAATTTGTACTCCAGTCTCTGAAATTCGGGTGCAGAATTAGAGCCCCATTGCTCTAACCTTATTTAACCATCATTTTGTTTGCTTTTCTTGTTTACACCACATTTAAAGGCACAAACATTTGTTTGTTTTATTTCAAAATATCTTTATTGGAGTTTTTAAAGCCATTTATATAAATGTGCCTAAAATACACAGTTGTTGGCATCAAGCCGTTGACTATCATAAACCAGCTAAACATTGGCCTCCTCTCCTGCTGTTCATTGAAGAATTGATGTTCAATTATGGTCGTAGCTTCCCTGGAACCTCCCATCTTTAAACATAGTCCACACATTTCTCTCAAGGTTGAAACTATCTTTCCCAGGCCTTCAAATATCCTGCTTTATCCATTCCAAACCTTTTTTTTTATTATTATTATTGATCAGTAACCAGGTTTGAACCACTTAGCTGCTTATTTGAGGTGAAATAAATGATTTGCACTCAGTACATTCATCCACTTAGTGAAATACACTAGTTCTATTAGCAGCACATAATGATGCTGCCACCGCCGTACGTAAGAGTTAGCGCAATGTTCCTGGGTGTTAAAGCCAACTTTTGACTCCTTCAAAGATTCTTCTTGTCGTTTGTGGCCAAACAGCTAATTTTTTGTTGTGTCTGCAGGGTTGTTATCCTGCAATAAATATCTAAAAGCCTGGGATATTTCGATCCATTATCTTACAAAGTATGACTGCTGCTAAGAGCTAAACTCCACTGATCAGCTCATAAATCACACTTTTTATCTCAGGTTCTCACTTAGTATGTAGTGTTAGATGTAGTACAGCTAAAATTACATTTAGTTTTTCTTTAAACATATATGAATTAAAATGACTCATGGCAGTGAGCATCATTGATGCTAACTGCTGATAGATAAATGCATACCTCCAACCCTATTCCCGGAATAATTTCCTTCCATCTGCTGCTGTCAGAAGGTAGAAATATGGGCACAAAAGGCCTTTGTAACAGGAAAACTTAAAACTTATATATATAAAAAAAAAAAAAACTGTTTTGGGACGAATAAGGGAGGCTAACATTAAGCTTCCCCAACACCCTCTCCAAACTGTTGACCTTTGCTCACCAGAAAATGTCTGAACTCTGCTAAAGAATAGTTTTCTATGAAACCGACAAATTAAAATGAGCGCCATCAATTCTACCATGAAGAGTGGGAAGAGTGCTATAATCTGTTAAGTTGTTCACTGCTTAACCCAATATTAATGTGTCTCCTTTTGTTATTAATAATATTCTTTTTGTTTTTATTAATATTCTTATTTTGGCTCTTTGTATGAAAACATCTGCAATAGATTGCGTATTGCTTTTTTTTTTTTTTTTAACTCTTATCTTGAATAGCTTTTAATTGTTCCCCACTGAAAAAGAAACATTCAAAATTGAACAATAAAACTCCCAAATTAAGAACTCATTCATGCTTTTAATGCATGGCTGGACTAGTAGCTAATGTAATGACAGATATAACTATAAGATATAAGTAAAGTTGGCTCCTGTGCTGCTTCCATTATGTTTGATTAATGTTCTCTGGTATGCATGCAGTCTCCTCATGCTTTTTTCCATTTTGGCCCTTGTGCTGCCTCCATCATGACTGTTCCGACACATTTAGCTCATCTCCCTCTGTGGCACGGCTTAATCGTTGTCGTTTACTCCATCCGTCAGTCTGTTTGGACTCCACCCATTTCTGACGGTAGCTCACCTGTGAACAGGCACAGCAACATTCCCATGCAGTGAAACTGTTTGTGTTTGCCATTTCAGTTTGCTTGGACCCATGTGACCCTGTTGATTGTGGTAACTCAGTCCCACCTTGTCATTCAGAACCTGTTTGAAGGAATGATCTGGTAAGCAGGACGCAGAGCGACGGACCGGACCGCGGTTGTATGTGTGCCATCATGAGTGTTTCCTGACTGTTGTGGTGTTTTTTATGTTGAGGCAATATATATATATGTTCCTTTAGCTGCAAGATGCAAAAAATAAACAGATTTTAAGTCAATCAAGTATAGTAAAAAGAAGGAATTTGATTCTGTTTATCGTAATATTCCAGAACAGATTAGGATCTCATTTCAGTTGTACTTTTCACTACCTCTCACCATAACTGGAATTCCTGCTTTCTAGGTTCATTGTTCCTATTTCCATTGTTATCTGCAATGACATCATGGCCTATCTGTTTGGATTCTTCTTTGGGAGAACTCCTCTCATCAAGGTAAGCCAAACTCTCTTTAATGTAGGTTTTACACCAAGCAATGGGACAGCCTCATCTTAAATGGAAGCTTTAAGCTCTCATTTATCAGTAAGCTTCATTTATAGAAAGCAGTAGTGAATAAAAATGTTTTTTTTTGTTGTGATTTAAAGGAGCAAACAGCTGCGGGCTGAACAACCTTTTTTTTTCTAGGATGTTATTTCTTAAAGTGAGGAGTACAGAAAAGCTTTGGAATCCATCACTGGGTTGGTGTCTGATGACAGTTGAGGGATTCATTCTTGAACAGCAACTCAGAAGTTTATCTCTGCACCACATAATTTGTTTGACCTGTAGACAAAAAGCAGACTTCTAATAACCTTTTATAAACAGAACAAGGGATTTAATAATGGTTGTATGATCAGATTTCCTCTTGTTGGTCAGAACTCATTCTAGATCCAGGTTTGAAGACTATATTGCTATGATCTTAGGTGATGCTGCAGCAAAAAAGCATGCATCATTGTGTTTTTGTTTTTTTTAACTTCCCTCTTATTTTGACAGCATGCTGATTTAGTATCAGATTTAATGTGGATGCTACGATGGAGGTTTTAGTCCAAAATGAAAACAACGTTAAGCTCTGATCCTTGTATTTGGGACTTTTGTGCAGTAAAGTATGCTCAGCTACAACTTCAGTAACTGTAGTAGGCTAAGACCAGTGGTTGTACAAAAGTGTAAAGTTCAGTGTCACCAGCATACATTTGGTAACAGATGTTGAAGTAAGCTATAGTCTTAGATAGTAGAAAATATGGATGTTAATTGACCTCCAGTTATAACTTAAAATAGTTTTATTTTGTATGGAGGAAGTTTTTATCACTATTCTTTATAAAGAATAGTGATAAGAGGAGAGTTACTGTCTCCTGATTTTGATTGGACCAAAGCAGTTATTTTCCTGTTTGGTTTTCTTTTTCTTAAATCATATTTTCCTGTTGTTTGGAAACATTGTCTTGTCCTTTTTTGGGCTGAACTTCTGCTGTCAGAAAGGTGGCCTCGTATTTTACTCCAGACTTCTTTAGTGTAAAGCTCAACCTGACTTTAGTTTGCAGGAGATTTAATATAAACCCATCTGATGTCCTCAGTAAACTTAGTTGGTCGGACCTCTTTCTAATTGTCCTTTTCATGAACTTTAATTGTTAACATTTTTTGATAACTTGATCTTCAGCCATCTTAGATGTTCTCTTGTGTATTTTCTTTCTCTCTGTAGAATCATAGATTACAAATAGTTTCAAGAGTCCTTCCAACCCTTACCCAGGCTAGGACTGGTAATCTGTGTTACCAGGCATTTTGCCCAGTGGGCCGGTCTTCCTTAAATCATCCCTGCCACAACACATAGTCTCCAAAGCACTGGCAGTAAATAACTCAAGGAGCTCAAGAAGTAATACAATGTTAACCACCTAAATCAGGGGTCTGCAACCTTTCATATCCAAAGAGCCATTTTGCCCAAGTAAAAGTTGTTTAGAGCCGCAAAATGTAACATGACTTTTTCTAGAAAACCTTTTTTTTTTTATATTTTGCATAGGAAATTAGTTGTTGCCATCTCAAACAATCAACAATTCATGTATTTTTAATGTTAAAATATAATTTTCAAGCTGATTCATAGAAAAATTTCTCTTAAAACATATTCCTGGTTCTTTTAATCTAATTCTTTTCCATCTTATAAAAAACGCTAACGCTATTGATACCGGTATATATTAAAGTAAATTATTTAGCTCTTTATATACATTTTAGCCACTATAAAGAGCCGCTGGAGAGGGTCCAAAGAGCCATATGTGGCTCTGGAGCCGCAGGTTGCAGACCCCTGACCTAAATGATGCATACAGTATATATAGCCTTTCCTTGTCATGCACATCCTTGTGACGGTTGGCATATGGTGTCATTTTCTATTTCTTCCAACAAACTAAATTATAAATAAAACTGAAATGCTACGATGTTCCTCTTATATTTGGCCAGCTTATGTTCGAATATTTTGCAAAAATATGCTGCGGTGCATTATGGGGTTTTGCATCTTTACATTGTTTCATTTTATTGCCCACATGCCACCTAGACTGGCAGTGAATGCTTACACACTGCTAAGCTTTCATGTATTCATTCTTAAAGAACTGCCTGTCTGCCTCTATATTGTATTGTTTTATGTTGGTGTTTTAACAACACTCTGGCTTACGTTGTAGACCTAGTATGTGCAAGTGTGGATGTTACACAGCAGCAGTCACTGTTGCGGCCGTGTTAATAACCAAAGCCAGTAAAACCGCATTATAGAAGTCTATAGAAGGGCTGGGGTCCATAAATGGGCCGGTGTAGATGAAAAAGTGCCAGGGCCGAACATCGTTCCCAGTCTGAGCTTGCCCTTACCTGATCTATGCGTTACAGTGTTTGCTTACCTAAGATCCTTGCTGAAAAGTATTTCCATCCTGCCATTGTGTTTACACTTTTTTCCCCTTCTGCTTTTCCAGAGTTTAATGTATTTCCGATGGTGGGGTAAAGAAAATGCAGCTAAATTAGATTTACTCTACTTTTAGGTTAGATCAAACTTTCTCTTTGAATGTCTCTGAAATATGTTGTATTGAATGAACCAAATCTGGTTTAGACCCATAAGAAAGACTATGAGAAACGTGAAGTTTTGTTCTTAACTACCTAACAAGTTGAGAATTAAAGCCAATTCAGTTTTAAGCTCCTATTTATTGAATTTAATGTTTGTGGGATTTTGTCCAAGGCACACCAGTCTACAGCATAAAAACAGATTTTTCTCAAAGCAGCTGATTAAAATGGCGTTGTAGCTGAATTGAACCTTCCTTTTTTTGCTCTCTTCTCCCCGCAGCTCTCACCCAAGAAGACGTGGGAGGGCTTCATCGGGGGTTACTTCGGCACGGTTGTCTTTGGCTTCATGGTGAGTTTGGCAGTTTTCACAGCTTCATCACATGTTCGGCCTTTCCTTCTGGACAGTTTCCGATCACCCAGAGAAGATCTTTTTTTTTTTTTTTTTAGGAGCAGGGAATAAATCCACAATCGATTCCCCCTCTTAGGAAGTTTGTTGATAGAATCCCAACTCCTGCTGGTCGTCAGATCAGTGTTTGGCTTTGTGATCAAATATTGAACAGCGGGTGAAATCTTTCCGCTGATACTTTATCCTTCAATCGACTCTCAGTTAAATTTGAGCAGTTTTCTGGCCCTGGCTCATGAGTGATTCACCTTTCATGACAAACCATTTACACACGCTTTATTGGATTAAAAGATCAACTCCAGAGACCTTTAACAGAAATCTCTGGAGTTCTGAAACCTTTATTTAGTCTGTCTCTAATAATAAGTGCTAAAGTTCACTTTGAATTATTAAAAATAAAGGTTTCTGTTGCCTGGCGTTTGTAATGCAGAAACAGTTCAGGCTGACCTTCCAGCCCTCTGGCACTGAGGTATGAGGAGCTAATTATGAGATCTAAGATACTAGCAGCGGGATTTAGCATCCCTCATAAGGGAGACATGCCCTGCTATGGATATAAGGTGAGGAGAGCTGCCATTTCTCCTCTATATTAAAAGATTCCTCCTAGACGTCTTGTAGAGACGCCCAGAAGTTGCAGAAGGGAACATTCATCCTTTCTGGGCTGGAAATGTCTATGAAACACATTATAATAAGATGTAATGTAATCTTAGAGGAGACGGACAATTTTAGGATATTTTAATGCCATATTTTTGGAGGGCCGCCTTAGAGTGAGAAGTTCATAGGTTTGATACCTGAACCAGGGTCTTTCTGCATGAACTATTAACCAACTTTTTTAATTAAATGGTTTTCCAGTGTTTGTGTGAAATGCAGACATTTATTCATCAGCTGGTTTGTTCTTTTCTTTGTTAAATGAAGCAGCTTCCTGCACTCAGTTCTTGTTCTGCAGTCTTTGATTTCTTATTTCTCATTTGAAGGTATCTGATACCTTCAAATGAGAGTGAAGCAAACAATAAGAGTGAAGCAAACAATATCTGTTCAATGCTTATTAGCTGTTATAACCTCACAGTTAAAGGAATCTTATTTAAAATGATATTCATTAATTTATAATGACTGAATTAGAGGAGTGAAACCTGCACACCTCTGGTGTTACGTAAATCAGTCTGAGAATAGACGAATAGATATAAGGTTGGCAAATATTCTCACCTTCTTCTTAGTTGCAGTTAAATACTTTTAATAGCCTGTTCTGTGACGGAAGCATTTAAACAACCAAACAAAATCCTCTTTCTTGTTTTAATTGCTTTCAGATAAACACTGTGTAAAGATCTTTTTCAGGCCATTTCAGAATGGCAGCTCACCGTCTCCCTGCGCTTCGTTCCTCCTCAGCTGTCCTACCTCCTGTCGCAGTTCCAGTACTTTGTGTGTCCTGTGGAGTTCAACAGTGAGACCAACAGGTTCACGGTCGTATGCGAGCCGTCTGATCTGTTTGTGATGCAGGAGTACACCCTCCCCGCCGTGCTGCAGAACACGCTGAGATGGGTGAGACTTGCTGCTTTATTTCAAACCTTCTCCATCAACGCAGCCTGTTGTTGTTTGATGCTGAGGGTACTGGTGCTCTGTTTCGGTAAAATGCCCTGAATTAAATCATGCTTTGGCTTTAGTGTTGATAAATCAGAAGCTGATGTTTTCCTTTGTTTCCATTTCAGAAAACGGTGAACCTGTACCCCTTCCAGATCCACAGCATCTTCCTGTCGTCCTTCGCCTCCCTCATCGGGCCCTTTGGAGGCTTCTTTGCCAGCGGCTTCAAGCGAGCCTTTAAAATCAAAGTAAAACTGAACCCATCCTTTCCCCACTGTTTCTGTCTTAAGTAATTTTTCTAGGCAGACACCTTTTTTACTCACATTTAAAACTCAGATTTAATAGGACGAGTTTATGCTGTCCTTCTGTAAATGTTTACAGTCACCTTTGAAGATAGTACTGCTTTAGCTGAGAATGTTTGCACAGCACAGTTTTATGACTCATCATTCAAACAGCAGCACAGATTCTCCACTGTAGATTGCTGAGATAAAAGTGCTCCCCCTGCTGGCAAGTTTGCCTCAGCACCTCTGCTCTGCTACTGAGGGGAAAAGGGAATTAAGATCAAATCAGATTGCCCTCCGTCTCTACAGAAAACCCCCATGCAATGACAGCACATGTTTACAGTTTTGGTAAAAGCTGCGTTTAAACATCCTAGTTTAAAAAGAAAAATGTCTGTCCTTTTATAAATACATTCATTCCAATGAAAAATTGTCTTAGATTTTGTTACATTGAGATAAACTTATAAAAAACCTCAGCATCAAGGTTTTGGAGTGGCCTAGTCAAAGTATAACTTAAGCTGCTCATATCTGGAAGAGTTCTTCCTCAGTGGTAGAAACGATGAATGCCAGTTATACAGTCATATGAAAAAGCACCCCTATTAATCTTAATTATTTTTATTTCTAAATATTTGGGTGTTTGCAACAGCTATTTCAGTTTAATATACCTAATAACTGATGGATACAAGTATATTTCAGTAGAGAATTGAGGTTTATTGGAGTAGCAGCAAATGTGCAGTTTGCATTAAAACAAAACTTGACGGATGCAAAAATATGGACACTTCAGCAAGGAAGAGACATTAATATTTAGTAGATCCTACTTTTGCAAACAGAACAGCATCTAGTTTCTTCCTGTAGCCTTTAATGCTTTCCTGGATGAAGGGATTTTTGACCATTCTTCTTTGCAAAACAATTCCAGTTTAGTTAAGTTTGATGGCCGCTGAGCATGGAAAGCCTGCTTCAAATCATCCCACAGATGTTCAATGATATTCAGGTCTGGGGATTGGGATGGCCATTCCAGAGCATTGGAATTGTTTCTCTGCATGAAGGCCTGAATCGATTCGAAGCGGTGTTTCGAATAGTTGTCATGCTGAAATCTCTATTCCCTGCGTAACTTTAACTTTGTAACTGATTCTTGAACATTTATTCTCAAGAATCTGATGATATTGAGGGGAATCCATGCGATCCTCCAATTTAACATAATTCCCAGTGCCAGCATTGGCAACGCAGCCCTAAAGCATGATGGAACTTCCACCAAATTTTACAGTGTTTCAAACACCCCATATTAAGAAATAAAAAAATTAAGATTAATAGGGGTGCTCAAACTTTTTTTTTTATATGACTGTATGTTTGGCCATAGTTATTCCTCCTGGTCATCCTCTTATTGAAAGGATAGGTTTGCTTCCCTTAAAAGTTGCTCAACATGTACGGTTGTCTTTACTCCCTCAGGACTTTGCCAGCACCATCCCAGGCCACGGAGGCATCATGGACCGCTTTGACTGTCAGTATCTGATGGCCACTTTCACTCACGTCTATCTCGCCAGCTTCGTCAGGTAGGAAATGAGCTTCTATCAGACTGGGTTTCGTCTCGGCATTGAAGCTGGGTGTGTTCTAGGTGTGGGACACGTCCAGGTCTGCTTCCCTGGGATAGAAAAAAAAAACCTCTGCATCTGATTGATACAGGTGTGTCTGTTCATTCTCGTCATGGTTACTGAGATCAGACACACCTGTATCAATCAGATGCAGAAGTTGTTTTTTTTTCTATCCCAAGGAAGCAGACCTGGTTTAATTAGTCTGCCCAGTAATGACAGACAGGAAACGAAGGAGTTGGTTGAAGTTTTGGGAGTAGTGGAGTTTAGCATAGAGTGCATTAGATAATTCAGAGTATTTTCTAATTGAGTTTTAGGAAAATCTGCACATTTACTGAATTAACTCTGTGTTCCTTTATGTTTAAATGCTGCTTCCTTCCATCCTTCTTCTTGGCTTCTTTCTGACAGGGTTTCCGCGGGTCATTAAAAATCATATATTATATTATAATTTTTTATATTAAGGCCTGAAGTGGCATTAAAATTAATTAGATGTGTTTATCGTGGCATTTAAAATGCGTTATTTATAAAAAAAAAAAAACTTTTATAAAAACATTTTTGTCAGATATGTTTGCGCGCAGCTGCTTATGGTTGATCATAAAGCCGTTTGTTTGGAAAAGAAGCACGAGGCAGAGAAAAAGCTAGAAAATGGGGGGAAAAATGCAAATGAGTTAGTTTGTTCTTTTGTATCTTTTCTTTCTTCATACCTTGTGTCCTTTGCTCCCTTCTTCCCTTCCAACTATCATCCCACTTTGACCCCTCTTCCCTTATATTTGTACCTCCTTTATGTTGATCATCCTTTTATAAATTATATCTTCCCCCTCCTTGTGTCTTTTCCTTCCTAAATAAGATTTTCAGAGCCGAAAATATAACATGACCTTTAAATAAAACACAATTTTTATTTTTTTAAATATCTGCAATAGGAAATCTTTCACCATTTTAAACAACAAAATGTTTATTTTCTGTTTTTAGTATTTGAAGGTAAGGACCAAACAACACTTTTGTAAAAAAAAATTAGGAAAAAATTACTTTAGTTTTTGTTCTATATGATTTTTCTTTCTGTAAAAATAAACAGTTTCTAAGCTAAAAACAAGAAATTTTGATATAAAACATACTCCTGATTTTTCAGTGACATTCTGTAGTGAAAATAAAGTGCAGGGTTTATTTTAAAAACTGCTAAAGCTTGTAAGAATTCTACTTGTTAATATGCTTTATTCAAAATCCTTAGCTGGCCCTTTATTACTATTAAGAGCCATTTTAGGGGGTTCAATACACAGCTAAAGGTGCATTTACTTGTAGGCCTGTTGCACATGTTTATCCTGGTCATCGATATGTTTGTTTTGTTGTCAGAATAAACTGGATCCCTATTGTTCCACTCAGCTCTGATACCTTTTATCTTGCAGAGGTCCAAACCCCAGCAAAGTGCTTCAGCAGCTCCTGATGCTTCAGCCTGAGCAGCAGCTCAACATTTTCAACACCCTGCACTCCCACCTGCAGGAGAGAGGCCTGCTGCCCTCAGCTGCTGTCCAGGCTGAGTAACAAACACTTTCAGCCGCGTTTCTGATAGTTAGTATGAGCACGAGCGCGCTGTGTGTTATCCCTACATCCATCAGCAACCTTCTAGCTCTGCACCCGAGGAAACTCTGTGGAACAAACAAGCAAAAACAAACAAAAGGAAACCAGGAAGGCGTCGTCGTTGGTCTGCTTTGGACCGTCTTCATCTAAAACATGGAGGATATCTCTCTGAGTGAGGGGAACTTTAAAGCACATTGCTTTTCCAATGCCGGCGATATTTGGATCTGGACTCTTTGTTCATGGACGCTAACTTTGCACTGACTTTTATGACGTAGGAGGCTTCCACCAGCTGCAGTTTGGACACAGGCTGCTGAGAAGCAGCAGGACTGTTGAACGTTACTTTACAGCCTGGTTCATTGTCTCCGCTCTAGGTAACGGTTTCACACGCCATATCGACACATGTAGCATGCATGCAAGTCCCGCCTTAGGCTCCTGCTGGATCAGCGGGTTCAGTCTCCATTTCCTTAGATTGATAGCTTTTAGGATTCTGACCAAACTGAGTCGCACAAACGGATGTCTGCAGGCATGCCGACGCAGAGCGTAGAACATCAACTGCACACTTGACACTTGAAGTAATGTATTGTACAGAAATATACTTAAATATTTAGCTGAACAAATACCTAATATATACATATATATATATATTTACTTAGAGATATGCTGTGGCAAAACTAAAAAAAACAAACAATTTAAGCTGTGAGAAATGATATGCAACTAAAGAGATTATTTCCTTTTAGCATCAACAAACTTTATCTTTAATAGGCAGCGATGTAGATTTAAGCAAACGTTATTTAGAGAGGGTGATGTGGATAAAGCTTTACTTAAACAAAAAAAAAAAGGATTGTATAAATGAAGAGTCGTGTTTCTTTCTGTCCTACGGTGGGATGAGGAGATCAGCTCTGCTCTCATGTCTGCTTCTTAGCAGGGAGCTTTAATCTAGTGGCACAAAATAGATAAGCTGAATCCCATTAAAGTTTAAGTCTTTATACAAACACCTGCAAAGCTCACACACCAACACTGTTCACTTTTTTTTCCTATTTATTTTTACAGTTAAATTGAATTTGTTTAGATGCATTAAAACAATAATGTCGCATTAGAAACTGTAAACCAGCTATAGGGATTATGAGCCGGTGCTGTAATAACACCATTACTGTGATTCTGGTGGATTATGGTGCAGGTTTAAGGGAAAACTAAATTATTTTCATTCAATCTTTTTTTTTTTTAATATAAGCTCTTCTTCCCAATAGTTAGTTAAAAGGTTCATCAAGAATGCGTACAGGCAAAAAATGTAGGAAACAAGAATGGTAGGTTAATTAGTTAATAGAAAATCCAATCTGTAAAAGAAATTCAATATACATAAAAATCATGTTTGATCATTCATTCAATGCTTTAATGATTTCTGGGCTGAAGTTAAACCTGCACAGCAGCTCAGATTCATCGTTTTTATATAACATGGGATTTTATGGAGGGAAAAAAAAGCATTTCTTCTAAACATGATTATTAAATTTAAACAGAAACATAGATGTATGAGCCATTACCCGAGAGATAAACCCATAATGTAGCTGGACGTCACATTATCATGCCATGCTGGTAAAATTGTAAAAAAAAACTATGATCATTTTTTTTTCTTTTAATGAGATATCTGTTTTATTGACAAGTTTAATCAAGAATATGTTATTAAATTATCTTGTTTGTTTCCCCAGGTTAATGAATTGAATGTTTTATTTAAAGAATTGTTTTTGATGCATTTTCAATCTAAAACCTCCTCAGTAGGTGGCAGCACTGAGCTCTTAAGTCAAGCATTTTCAAAGCTGATGATAACCACCCCTGCTTTAAATTATTTTTATGTTTTTTTTCTCTATAAATCTCCAGTTTGCTGGTGCTGGAATATATATTTAAGATTTCAGTAATATGACTATGATGTGGGATTTATATCTAACAAAACCTAATCTGAGTATAAACCTACCAGTCTGCTCTGATGTTTTATACCTCTGTTAAAAATTGAGGTGAGCCTATATATTTTTTTTTATCGGCTGCATGTAAAGTGCACATAATCTTTTTATGTTGTAGAAATGGAGCCAAGTTTAGAGAGAAAACTGGGCTTTTTCTTTCCTGCTTCATCCAGAAGCACTTGATGTGTGAGCTTTACAGCACTGGAAAAAAGCTAAATCTAGAGAAGTTATTTTTCCTTAAATTAAGTGAATTTATTCTTGGATTGAGGAGGTAAAAGACATTTTGCAAACAGAACAAGACAATTTACATTAAAAATAAGAAAACGCAATTGCAATGTCTTATTTCAAGTGCATTTTATCTAATTATCTTATTTTAAGAATAAAAATACTTATTCCATTGGCAAATGGCAAACTCTCATTTACCTACTCAAATTAAGGGTAAATACACTTAAGACATTTTTTACTTATTTCTGGGTAATTTTTCCAGTGAGGAGGAACCTGATGCTCATATGAGATTCATCTTCTGATCCAACTTTTAAAAACGGTTGAACTGTTCCTTTAGTGAGCGTAGCGCCTCCTTTATTGGAAGATTTGGATCGTTGGAAGCAGATTATGGTGTGTGTGTGGTGTGTATGGGGGGGGGGGTTCTTGCACATTAAAGTTTTAAGTAAATAATGAATGTAAGATGATAGCATAGGGGTGAACTATTCAAAGAGCTTGTGTACGGTTTGTTGTTTCCCTGTAATAACATTGATCTGTTTCTGTATAAAAACTCTGAGAGGTGTTTTTATTAGAAAGCTTGTTTCCATGTTTACCGTTTGGGATGAGTCACATGATCGGTGACAAGGCGCGTCACCCCACTGCCCTGACGATGCATTCTCTGATCCAGTCCAGCGCTCTTTTGGTAGAAATGTTTACCAAATAACTGTATTGATCAGCGTTTGTTCTGGGAAAGGAAAAACGCTCCATGGAGCTGCTGCGACACAAAAACAACCCAAGGCAGGAACTGGAGAGCTGCTGGTTATTAGTTTAGCTCACATTTGTCATGTCAGTCTATTAAGTTTTTACTTCCTACTGTTCTGTTTTTGTGGGTTTTTTTTTTCATAGAATGACATTGTACACGCTGTAAAATCTACTGAAGTAGCTTATATTCTAGGGACCAGGTGCAACAATCTGTATACATCACTCAAAACAAACAAGCTGCTGCTGTATCCAGATACTGAAGCAACCAATAACGTCCATAACGAGGTTTCTTAATGTTTTTTAACCCATTTATGTGGAGTCTGGGGAACATCTCTGGGATATTTAAGTAATAATTGAGGATTTCTTAAAGAGTGGACAAGGAGACAAAAAAAGACAGTTTAAAGTCACTGATACAGTCTCAAACCCCCTTAAAGGAACATTTTACGGCTTGTTAATTTCAGCTTAATTGTTTTGAACCAACACCATGGTATGAGTTTATTGAGAAATTTTTTGAAAAGTAATTATGTAGAAAAAGTGTTGAAAAGATTCAAAACGATGAGCCCATTGGTCACTTCGCCCTGCCTCCCACCAGCTGCAGCTGATTGATGAACTTCCTTTAAGTTGGATTCAGATCACCGGTTCTGTCTCACAGCTAATCTGGTTACAAACAAAACTTATAAAATGTCAAACATGTAAAACAAAAAATTTTTTTTATGAGCCTTTAAATCATACTTTTAATGGTAAGGAAACCCAAACAAATGTTATTTACAAAGACATATTCTAACACCAAGACAAATTAGCCCAGTTAAGATTTAATTTGAAGCTTTTATTGTTTCAAACCTGATTAATGAATTTCCTGTTAGCAGTCAGGCAGACCTGAGTTTATTTTTTTTGGTTTCCTCTGTGAAGCGATTAAAGCAATACAAAGATGTGTAGAGTCAGTGCTGATTCTTTTAGGGGTGACGTTAAGCAGTTTAATTTAAGGAAGTGAATAAAATTGTTTTCTGTAAAATGTTCAGTGTTTGTTGCATTTTAATACATCAAAAAAGACTTCACCCAAAATAAAGCTTGACGGTTCATTTTTATTGACGTAGAAATGAAACGTGTGCATGGTATAGCAGGTGAAAAAGGTTGAGCGTCACAAATAGACCATTTTTAGAGAGGTGACACTGATTTACAACCATTTTCTGGGTAATAGGGATCTATAAGAAGACACAGCAACAAACATTAGCGGCTTTTAATCCTCAGTCAAATAGAAAAAGGTCCCTCGACATAATCGGGATGAGGATCAGGATGGGAAAACAGCAGTTTGTCAAAACAGAAAATAAGTCAGTCACAATACAAAAACTCTTATTTTAATGTGATTTTTTTTTTTTTTTTTGTGGGTTTTAAATAAAGTGCAGGTTAGATTAAATCCATTTGGGTTCAAATTAAAACGGTCAGGGATGCAGTCTTCAAATTGAATTACTATTTAGGACAACAGTGACCCCTACTGGACAAGAATACCAGTTGATGTTCAGTTAACCCACAGCTATTAATCATTAAAACATATAATTATAAAACCAACAACATAAAGAAAAACACATAAACTGAACTACAAGCAAAAATAGTTTCCGAATCCCAGTGTTGATGCAACACGGTAAAAAAAACCAACCTTCTTACGGTTCACAGTCTTTGTCTCAGAAACGTCTTGTCTCAACGCTGGATGTTTCAGCTTTTAGTTGATGATTAAATTATTCTCTAAACTGATTTTTACATCAGTAGATTTAAAGTCTTCCTTACAAGCCGGGGCCACAATATAAAGAAAAGCAGTGCAGCAACGAATCTCTGTTCAGTAAGGAGTTTAAAGCGCATCAGCTTCCAAACCTAAAAGTGGTTCTATGAAGAGGTTATGAGCAGTTAGTATCTCATTGGTAGTTACCTCTTGATAACTTCACACATTAATCGAGATTCACTAATTAGTCGTTTTGCCAATCATATTTAAACTATTAAAAACACAAACCAACATGGTGAACATTCCTGTCCGCTCCATATTTATTATAACCCCTGGTATGAATGCGTCTAAAAAATGATCAAATCCCTATCAGCAGCACAACATCCCATATATCCAATCACCATGTTGGGAAATAATAGTTTTGTGCCTTTAGTTTATTTGTTTACGGGTTCTATGAGGACGGGCAAAAATATGACTAGAAGGAAACCCAGAATTATTTAGTTTATAAGTTAAATCTGCCAAATACACCAAAAATCATGTATCTAGGTTTTAACTGTAGTTGAAATATTTTCTGTTTATGGCCTCTCGCCACAGATTGTCTGAACTCTGCCCTTAGGTAATGCTTTTAAAATTAGTTTAGCCTTGAGAAAAACGTTACTCACTCAACCTGCAGCTCCTGATGAAGAGAGAAAAATATAAACATGCTATGAGAATCCAATTTGGATCTCTGGACGGTTATATGGCTTTAGAAAAGTTGCTGCTGATAACAGAAAATGAATGAATGGCTGCCTGTGTCAGTGCCTTAGCTATTAGCTCCTCTCTACAGAGAGCTTCCTTTACCTCTACAGGACTTGGATTGCCCTTTCAGTGCAGGTGAAAGCTCTTTATCCCATCTGTTTGGCTCTGTGCTCCAGATATAAACAAATAACAGAAAGGGACGTATTCTCCTGTAGGTTTTATGTTAAACCCACCGGGGGGGGCACCTTCCAGCAGTAAACCCAACAGACCTGATCAGAAAACCTCTAGGTGACCACAGCATTAAACGGCACCCTTGTTTCATCTGCGTCATCGTCCACCACAGTTGTCAGATTGGACCTGTTGGGACAGAAGATGAAGCGAAGAATCGCCAGCCCAACGCGCACCAGGAGCCTCAGCACAAGAAAAGCAAAAGGCACCGTGATCTCCATCAGGTGGAAGATGGAGGTGCTAAATTTACTCAAGATGCAGGTAAGAAAAAAGGTCCCCAAAGCAATGCAGGGGTAGAGAGCCAGTTTAGCTAGCATGAACACATGCTCACGCCCGCCGTACCAAACGTAAGGGTGCAACGTTTCCTGCTCGCTGTAAAGCGCCACCACCCAAATGGAGAGCTGGAATATACCAGCGAAGAAGATGATCACACAGCTGATCTGAATGGCCTCGAGCTCGTTCTGGGAGTTACGCGGGAACTCGTGCGTCAGCTGGTAGGCTAAAGGCAAACCTCCAACAAACGCCAGGGAGAAGGTGTTCAGCAAGCCCATGAAGCGCGTCGCCTTGGTGACGTGGAGGAATAGAGAATGGTGGACGAACCAGAGGAGGCCGACCGTGGCGAAGGAACCGAAGTAGGCGAGGTACTCCGGGCCGTAGGCCTTCAGGGCTGCTACCAGGCTGCCGCCAAACTGCTTCTCCACGACTGTCGGGTCAGGAACGTTGTCCTCGCTAAATGCATGGAAGCCAAAAATAGGCGTTACGGAACAGAACATCATTAAAGTCGTCCTGCACAAACAAATTATGACATACCAAATGTCCAAGATGAGAAGTGTTGCTACGATGGCGTAAACGCCGTCACTGAAAGCCTCCACCCGTTCTTTGCTGAGCGGCTCGTTGGGAAGGTAGGTGTAGAACACCATGGAGTCTGGAGTGTCCTCCACCTGGCCTGAAACAGACAACATCAGATCAGTGATTGAGAGAAAGTCCGCGTCAGGGCAAAATGTGGCGGTTCTAGACAAAATCTACCAACCAGGGTTGCAGATTCCTTAAACAGATAAAAAAGAAAAAAAATATTATCCTATCTTTGTATGACTGAAGCTTAAATCTATGCAATGCAATTTAGAAATAATTGTTAAACTGAAAAGGGGAAATATTAATATTGGTCCAAGGGACAAATCAGTCTCTTCTGTTGGCACAGGTTATAATAATAAATGTATTTAGCATTATACTACAAGAAACTGGTCAAAATAAGTAAGACTTTCTTAAAATAACAACCATATATTCCGGATTATAAACCACTAATTTTTCCAGATGCTTTGAACCATGCAGCTTATATATGCAGTTTTTTTCCTAACCACCAGTGGTTAGAAGTCAGAGAAGATGGGACTTATTTTCATTTAGCAGATGCTAAATTTCCCAAATTCACACACTGACATTTGCCAAATTAAAGCTGCCGCACCAATGAAGTGATTGTGTGCAACTCCTGCAGAGCTGTTCAGTATATATTCATCTTATATATGTATTTTTCTAGTCTGCTTTTAAAACTGCCAAAGGAACGAGTATTGTTGTATTTTTATTCTTAAAATCAGATAATCATTAAGCACTTGAAAAATTTAAATGCAAATAATTTCATTTTATTAGCAAATTGTCTAACTTACAAGCAAATGAAAATATGTTAATTTCAGGAAAAATATTAATCAAATAAAACATTATTGTATGTTTACAGTAAAGAGGCCAGGAGCAGTTCTACTCTGGCCCCTGTTGCCCCCCCCCCCCATCTGGAACCACTCATCAACACAAAAAAGGCAAAGCGAGCCAGAAGGTTGAGGAGACCTGCCTACCGATGGCTTTGCTGCGGCACCACTTCAGGCACTGGGAGATGTAAGGCAGGAAGGTGATGATGGCTAGAAGAACGTAAGACTGGGAAAAAAAATCAGGACAGGATTATTAAATGTTTATAAATGGAAACCTTATAAAACAAACAGCATTAAAAAGAGAAGTCAGTTTAAAGGGGTAGGAGGAGTTCAAAGTGAATGGCTCCAAACATCTGGGAGGAGGTTCTCTTGGTCTAAGGAAGACCCAGAGTTCACCTGCAGGCATCCCAAAAATAGCAAACATTGCATTTTATTTTATCTCAAAGTACAAATACCTGTTTGTGTCTCAAGGATTTACTATTTTAGTATTGCAGAAGGATAAAAAGTTACGTATTATAACTGACCAGTGGGAAGAAGATGAAGGAGAAGATGCTGGCGAAGAAGCACATGATGGGAACCCTCATGATGACTTTCAGGATGTGCTGTTTGTAGAAGGTCTGGTTCTCTGAGATCTGGATCTGCTCGTTGAGCAGGAAGGGCCGGCTGAAGGCGTAAACCACAATCACCGACTGGGAAACCATGAAAAACGGATATTAGGTCGGTCAGAACGTCAGGCTGAGCAGTGAGAGGCGTGCATGTCAACATAAAAGAGAAGCGACGGCCTTCATTTTCCCACCTGAATGACTCCCATTACCATCACACAGCCGCAGAAGAGTAAAATCCCCAGCATGTTCTCAGGGAAGGTTGCCATCAAAGAAAACTGCAGCAGAGAAGTCATTTAAACTGGATTAATGCATGTTTGAAAGCAGACAGGAAGAGAATCAGTCTGGTACTCACTGTGTAGGGCAGGAAGGTTATCAGCATCATACACGCCTGAATTAGAACAGAAAGCAGAAGTCATCATTAATAAAATGAAGGAACCAGAAACGTCAGAGGAAATCTGCTCAAATGGTTTTAACAAGTATAAGAGAAAAAAAACTATGAATCCATAGAAATCTGAAAGGAACAGCACTAAAACCCGATTCTGCACTCACAAGGTTAAGCAGAGCGAGGCAATCATCAATACGGACGATGACCTGGAACAACCTGGAAATTTGAAGATCCAATAAGCAACAAGCTGAGGTGTTGAGAAGAGAAGCTAACAACAGTAGGAAGGGATTACCTGATGTGAGCAGCCCAGGCCATGGTCACGATCAGGAAGGTCATCAGATAGACGGCTATCTTTGTCGTTAGCAGAAGCTGAACGCTCTCCCTCAACTCCTGCACCAAACCAACCAGGAGAAAACATCTCACACTGACACAAGTAACTATTGGTAATTAAAATTATTAGGAATTTGAAAAAACAAGAAAAACAAATCAATTATAAGTTACAGAATGCTTTAAATGCGTCTCAATGTAATAAAAATCAGCTTTACCTCATTATCTTCCACTTTAGTGTGGGCAACCGGTAAAATCTGGAAGCACAGAGTTAGGATTAAAAGACTGTACTGGTTTAACTGTGATTCATTCAACAATGGGATGGAAAAGAAGGAGAAGATGAAAAGAAAAAGAGAGCAGAAAAAGTGTGGACTGCTGGAAGAACTGTGGTGAACTGGTGAAAGAAAAGTGAAATGGTGTGCTCAAAGATGACCCTGAACATTGAGTGTTTGGCTCAACCTGCTGCTGTGAAGCAGGATTCTCCACCATGAACAGAATCAGAAATAAATATGGATCCAGGCTCAAAATGAGCACCTTGATATGTGCTTTGGAATGGCTTAGTCTCCATTCAAACCCAGGTTTAAAGCCTTGCAGGGCAGCATAAAGCCCACTGCCAACATTAAGACAGAAAAAAGACAGTTCAGGTGTTTTATAAAATATGGGAATCAGGAAATTGTCTATAAACCAAACTGAACGATTGTTGTTCTCTACTACAAAAAACACTTTAGATTTTAAAATGAAAAAAAAAAAAAAAAATATATATATATATATATATATATATATATATATATATATATATATATATTTTTTTTTTTTTTATTTAAAAATTTTATGTATAACATGGATGCATAAAAATCTGCTTTTTATTTCACAGTTAAATTCTGTTTAAAGTAACAGATTATAATTTAAAATGTCTCTGGACCTTTACTGGCTGATGATTTTTCTTTATTCGGACCCCACTGAGTTTTAATTGGTTCCCCCTGCTTTAGAGGATGTGAGAAAGACGTCATATGGTCCTATTGTTTAATTCTCCCAGACAGGGGAAACTCTACAGTTTCAGTAACGTTTAGAAGCTTGCACTGGTATTAAACAGGTTTATTGGTAAACTAAAGAGATCAGCCGCCTCCAGCTTAGGTGTGGATCATGAAAATTAAACTTGATCAAACGGTTAATTGATATAATCTTTGCAATATCGAGGTCCATATCTTTGTTCACTATTATTTACCTCTATTGAGTCACAGCATATATATATATATATATATATATATATATATATATATATATATATATATAATACAGGGCCGGCAACTTTTTACCAAACCTTGGAGTGAAATTTTGAAATAGTTTGGATAGGCCACCATTGTCAGGGTTAGATTAAAAGGCTCTGAGGATAGGTGCAGTTATCTGTTTTATCATTTAATTTTTCTTTATTTAACCAGGTAAACCCCGTTGAGATCTGGATCTCATTTTAAAGGAGGACCTAGGCAGAGATTTGCCGATCTGTGTCTGTTTTCAGAGGATTTAAATAAAACAAAGCGGCAAAAGGTGGAATTTTTGATAGAAAAGTAAATATTACTAAATAACAACAAGTTATCTGTAGTTATGTGGAACATTAAAAAAAAAAAAAAAACACAAAAAAATACATTATTTTTTATATTCGGGGGATTTTTAGAGAATTGAAGTAAAGAAGTATGGCCCTACTAAAATAATTGCATCTTAATTATACTGTAAACTAAGAATTTCACAACTGTGTTCATTAATAATTCTATGCAGCTCATGTAAAATAAACAATGCGAAACAAACAAGTTATTACTGGAATACTGGCACTGATACAGGAACCCGTGCAGTCAAATCTCATGCAAACTACTCTGTGTATGAATATTAGGTAATAGGCTGAGGATTAAAAAATCTTAACTCATTATCTTATTGGTTTCTCTTACAATTGACAAAACAGACCTTCTAGGAGGCTGTAGATGGCTGCAATGAATGATTATTTTACAAATAGACTAACCTGTCGATTACTTTTTCAATCAATTAATAATCGGATAGCCGAAGGTTCCTTAAAAAAGATTTTTTTTTACTAAATTAAACCAGGGGAAGATAAATCTTTTCCACTTTGGGAGTATAGTGGATAATGAAAGATGACTTTTTTTATTTTTATTTTAAATATAAAATGTTTACATATTTGTTATAATGTTATAACAAATATAATTTGTATAATTGTTATATACAATTTTGGTATAATTGCAGCTCAAGATGGGTCATTCTGTCAGCTGAAGCATGTTTTAGATATTCCAGTTAAGGATGAATGGATGACTAAATTAGTGGATTTTTACCAGCATGATATTTTTATAGATAAATAAGTTGAGTTTTTAATGCAATTTTAGAGTGAAAATGTGCAGATTTGGAGTGAGAGGGTGTGAATACACTGTTATTATAAACATATTTACACTAAATTGTGTATTATTGATCAGAGGTGCAAATAAAGATTGACCTTTTAAAGTAAACAAATAGATATAATGATTGTTTTTCCTTTGATGACCATTAAAGGGCCCATAAGTAGTTGCCCAGCGTGTCTCACCATGACTGTGGCAATGATGGAGATGAGAGCGTCGCTGTAGGCCAGCAGTCTGTGGGAGGACTGGGTGCTGCTGCCGCTCCGGCCCTCTCTCTCGGACGGACTGCTCTCCAGCAGCGGGGAGGACGCGGCGTGGCACCTCGCTGTTTTCTTCTCCATCTCCTCATCAACGTGATGCTCTATAATGTCGCTCTCATTATTCTCCCCCATCCTGGACGGAGCTGCGGGACCAAGGAGCCCCGGTACTGTTTGCAAACAGACGAGGAACAGCTGAGTGTGGGCGGGGAAACCGGAAGTGGAAGAGCGAACACTTCCGGTCTGCTCCCTTCAGAGATCGTTCTGTCAAAACAGGAGGAGTCACTCTGCCGCGAAAACGTTTGCTTATCTCTCTTTAAATGTTCTGTCCTGGTGAAGAAACATAAACATGTAAACCAAAGAGAAAGTATCCTTTCTAGACCTCGAGTAACTGTCACAAATTATGATGAACAGCAAATACAAATGAATTAAAAAGCGAGGGGGATAAACATTTATGTAATATAATAATCATTACTTATTACTTAGTTACGATTACTATAATATACGTGAACGATCAGACATCAGAGACTCTTCCTCCTCAGGAGGGCGACGTCGGACCACACTCATTCACCATTTGGCTCAAATGAATACCAAAGGCTATTATTCATAAAAAAAAAAAAAATTACGAATAGTTATATTATATAAAGTCAATAATAAATATGATAATGGTATTAATATTGATTATAATAAGAGCAGAGCTCAGCCTAATGTTTTCAGATCGGTTTCTGTTTTTTGACTTAAATGCAAACAATTCAGTACTAAGACAATTCAAAGTGCTTTACATGAATTAAACCATAAAATAGAACAAAATAAAGGCAGTATAAAAACAATATAAGCAGGTAGTAAAGCAAAAAAAGCATAACAAAACAGCTGGACCACAACCTTAAACTAATGATACTTTAGTTAAAAGTTTAACTTCAACAGTCAAAGGCAGTTCTAAGAAAATTGTTTTTTTTTACTTAAAGAACTCTTTCAATGGGCTTTCTGCACATTTACAGTCTTCTGGGAGTTTGTTCCAGATAATGAAGCGTAGAAGCAAAATGCTGCTTCTGTTTGGTTCTAGTTCTGGGTGAACAGAGTACCTCAGTTTTGTTTTTATTCAGCTGGAGAAAATGATGGCGCATCCATGTATTGATCTGTTCTAAGCATGGGTTGATGATGGGTTCATAGTCACCTGGTGACATTGTGATGTAAAGCTGCATAGTGATGGGATCTAATCTTGTTGTTTGTTAAAATCTGAGCTAAGGGGAGCATGTTGATGTTGAATAGGAGGGGCCCCATAATGGAGCCTTGAGGAACCCCGCTTGGTATTTTTCTTTACTGTGATTTAATGTTCCTTACGGACACATAAAAGTCCCAGTCCTTCAGGTAGGATTTAGGATCTTTAATTTTGAAAAATTGAAATGAGAATAAAGGAAGGTAATAGAGTGGACAAATGAATTATTTAGACTTATTTGTAGACTTTGTTGCCTTTTAACATTTAAATATTGACTAATATTGTTTCAAGAAAGGTACCTTTATGCTGTTTTTGTATAAAACAAAGTTACACTTGAGTTTAATTTTCTTCATGTCCAACAATAAGTAATAGGTTTATAATTTAAGCAAAGCTGATATTTATCATCTCACTGATTTAAACATTGGAAAATATGTATTCCCCTAAATATCTCTTTTGGTTATTTTCTATCCATCCATCTGTCCCTGCTTCTGTGCGTCCGTCCGTCCATCTATCCATCTTTCCTTGCATTTGTCCGTCCATCCATCCAAGCCTGTACACTTCTACAACTCAACAAAGCTTTCATATTCATTTTCAAATAGTCCCCCCTAACATCTGGAAATCGGAGTTTAAAGTAGGGAAATTTTGATGATGAACAATCACAAATTGTGTAGAAATCTTGTCTTCATTAATGTAGCACCATGGGAGCATAAACACTGAAGCACATTCTGAAAATGAACTCAAATTTTCATCCATTTGTTAATTTTGTCTTGTTAAATAAAACTGCAGTCTTCTGGTACTTTTTCAAAAGAATTATAAACTACATTTAATATGTAAGAATCAATAAAGACCAGAACATTTTTCAAAAGACTTTTAAAAAAGTTATCTCATACAAACTGTAGTAACATCTCATTTGATTTAATTTGTAAAAGCCTTTTAAATGTTCAAAAGGCAGCCCTCCTTTAATCACCATCTTGACGAGATATTTTAGAAACAACAGCACAGAGTAAAATATATTTTTCTAAGAAAAAAACTAAATATCTTCCATTCATCCTTCCTTCCAATCACCATTAAACAAGGTCTATCCATTAAACAAGTAATTTCACCCCTAATTAATTATGGCTCCTAGAATATCATTGTGTAACATTTTTCTCAGTTTTTATAAGGTACAAAGAAGATAAATGTCAACTATCATTTTCTATTCATACAAAGAACAGGGTGGCGGATGGGAAGTGTCACAGCAAAGACATGGGTAAGGTGATCAATTTTGATCTATTTCTGCAACTTTTGTCCAGATTAAACACCTGGCAGCCACAAATAAAGGAGACAGTTCTATAGAATCAGTCCAAGAGTTTCTGAGCAGAAACTCTGGAAAAGCTAATAAAGTCATTGACTTCCTGTCTAGAAAGGGTTGGTTTTCCAGAGAAAAAAACTGGGAAGCATTACCTTTTCATGAGGGAATGTATGTTTATTTATTTATTTATTTTTTCCTGAAATATGGCAGTGAATACAGATGGCATCAGATCCCTAAAATAAATCTATAAAGTTTGCATAAAATTCAATATCTGAAAAGAGACGGTGACAGCATGCATTTATATGACTCTAAAAAAGGCGCTGAGCATAGAAAGCTGGAGTTTCTCTGAGGTACATCCTAATATCTGAGACGTGGCTAGATGCAGGTCAAAGTAATGAACCAAAAGACAGCAAAGCTTTCTCATCTTATCTCAGAGCAATCATGCTCATCCCCCCCGCCCCCATCCTCAGCCCTGCCTGAGACGTGTTGACACAGAACACGTCAGGTGTAATGGGATTGACCTCAGTTGCCAACTCTGCCAGATCGCAGATAGACACATCAATAACATCTGCCTCCGCTGGGCTGCTGTAGCACAAACTGTAAACTCAGCAGACTGAAAACTACAGTGCAGCAGAGCCTTCACCTGTTTTTACATTTCTATTTTTTTTTAGCTGGATAGAGAAACTCTATATGATTGTCTGTGAGGGATATTAGATGGTAATCTATGGGCTGTGGCTACATTTATCATACTTATTATTCTTATCAGTTATGTATGTGGCAGGAACATCTTTCTAATCACTACTTTATATCTCCAATTAGGATTATTTTAATTCAAATTTGTGAGACTACAAGCTACTCTCATGTCCACCCTGCCTTTGGGAGAAATAAATCTTCCAATCTTAAAACCTTTTTCTTAAACTAGAACCTTCACCTTTTAGTTTATCATTAATGACAGGAATTCTTAATCAAATATCGATAACTGACATTTTATATAAAAAAATATACAGTATGTATATATATATATATATATATATATATATATATATA